CTAAAGCTAGAATTATTAATAACAAAACCAATAGAAACAGTATGATAATGAAAATGAACTCAAGAATTCTGGATTCTAAGTCTAACTCACTATGTTTTACAAACCATCCATTTGGAAAATTACTGGAAGGCTCTAGCATGTCAAGAATTATTCTGACTTATGAAGGGAAAAGATAAGCAAAGTTCCATCAGGTTCACAGACTGATGAAGAGAGAATAAATTGAACAAAGTATTAGACACTGAAAGAGGAGAGTGTCAGAACAATGTGAGAAGTGTTGCACAGTCATGTAAGTTGCTCCTGAAGCACAAAATCTTGAATGAGTAGATGATCTTGACTTGAAATGTAGTCAGCCCAGGATTAAGGAAAGAATTAACAAAGGACTAAAAAGGCTTGTGTGAAAGAAACAGATAGGGTTGATAGGTGCCTGAGGAGATGGTTCAATATAAAAGGACTAACTAGTGAAGCAATCAGATGGACCTGAGCACCCACATAAAAAGCTGAGCAGCACCCTGTGAGCTTGTAACCCTAGTGCCTGAGGTGGTAGAGACAGGGGACACCTGGAGCTTTTTGGCTGCTAGCCTAGCTCTAAAATGATGAGTTACACATTTAGTGAGAGACTGTCTCAAGGGAATCAGAGCATGATTGAAGACACCTGATATCCTTCTCTGGCTTCTTTGCATACTTACCTGCACATACATGTACATACATGCATGTTACCCCCCAAGACACATATGCATACAGATAGGAATCTACCAGTCAGTTAAATGGGGAATAGTAAGGCAGAAAAAAGTCATTAACAGAGGTATAAAGGAATTTTAAAAGAGTAAGTTGGAAAGTTCAAATTAGTTTGGAATGGCTGAGTGAAGCATTCTTGTGGATAAATAGAGTCTAGATGTTTTCCTTGAGACTCTGAAAAGACTTAGGTAATATAAATAAATAGTATAGAAAGAAAACTATGAAATTTATTAACTTGAGAAAAGGAAAACTAAATAGAAATTTTAGATTAGCTGCAAAAGCTCAGCTGAGACATATTGAAACAGCACCAGTAAAGACTACATGAAATGTTACTTACTGTGGGATTTAAGAAATTGATTCACTAGTTTGTACAGTCAATCTGAGGTGCCTGTAAGGTCTCATTTGGAGATAACTTACAAGGTATTTGACTGTATCAGTCAAAAGCTGAGGAGGAGCAGAGAAGTAGAGTAGACTGGCTCCAGGTAGAAATTTTGGGAGTATTCAACATTAATGTGCTAGCCAAAGAGATGTCAAAGAAATAATTTTAGTTTTTCCTCATCTGCTATTCCAAAATAATTCCAGGTTTTTTTTCCCAGTTTCTAGCCACCGATAGTGACAATTTTGAGGAAAAGTGGAACTGGTATTTTCTAGTATATATGGATAATTTCATGTAGTATGTTGTTTCTAGCCTTGGGCCGAACACAGCAACCTTTTTCATATGTTCTAGGAGCTCCAATTAGTTGTCCGGTGCCTCCGAGGACATTATATGGCAAATTAAAAGTGAATCTATATTTTAGAATTTTTTAGATACATGGGTTTATAAGCAGTTAAAAAAAGGAATGAATATGAGCTTTCCACAGGGTAGCCATGTCAGTAATAGGCAGTTAGCTAGGAGGTGTGGACATTTCTTGAGTTTGTCAGTTTTTGTTGGTTTCATCCAAAATTCCTCTAGAGTATCAATTTTCACAACAGTATTGAAAAAAAATTACAAAACTAACCCCAAATTCTTCCACTTCACATTATTTCACCCAATTCAGCAGTTGTCTTGGTATCTGTTTCATAGTATTTTGTGTTTGCAGTACTGTATACTTTGGATATCTTGACCTGCTTTAGTTATATTTCCACCTTATTTCCACCTATGGAGAATTGTTACGGAACCAGGAATAATAATAGAGATCAATTGAGGAAGACGCCTAATGCTGACTTCTATTCTGTACACACATATGCACCCCCCGACACACACACAGTTGACTCTCTAGTTAGTTCTGTTACTGACTGGCTAGATGAATGACCTTGAATCAAGTTACTTCTGAAGTCATTTTCTCATCTGTAAACTGAAGTCTTTAACTTCATTTTTTCTTTTCTTAAATTTTGTAATCTTTGAAATTCAGAGATCGTGAAAGAAACAGTATTTATTTATTGAAAGAGTCTTGAAGTGTGTAGCCTCATCATTCATCTAGGACTTGTATTATCTCCCTAGTACTACTCCTAAGCAGCAGGAAACAAACTTGTGCCTTAGATAGAGACACAAGCAATTGTATCATTAGAAGCCTTCTACATTGTTGCTTTTATTTCTTTTTATTTTTTCAAATTTGAATATCCTGTTTCATTTGTTATTTTTATAACAGGATCTTGATTTTTACTTGTATTGATTTAGATATATGAAATGCATCATATTAATGAAATAGGAGGTAAAGGGTATTTGAAAGTAGGATTAGCTACAGATTTTGGAGTCAATGATGAATTTTTATATCTAGAAAATAATGAATTATAATTTCGGTACAGAGAAATGTCATTTTAAATCTTTGCCCTGGAAATTGTAATAGTGCTCATAATAGATCTCATTCTGTCCTAGACTCTGCTCTGGGCTTGTATTATCTCATTCAGGTCATGTAACAATCATAAGATGTGCATTTCTCTTCCATTTTAGACATGAGGGGACTGTGGAACACAAACAGCAGTGTGACATTGAGTTATTCCAAGTATATATTAAGTATACATTGTGTGAATTGTTATGTATTAAAATTTCTTCTCCCACAAAAATAATGCTCTGTGATTGACAAGTCTCCTGGCCTTCATTCACATCCGTTCCCAGGATTCATTGAGGTCTCAGTGTGTTCCAGTCATGGTGCTAGTGCTTTCCATATTTATCTCATTTAATCCTCACAGCAGCCATGTTCATGATACATATAGGATAGAAACTTAATTTCATTCCTATTTTGTGAATGAAGAAACTGAGACTCACTTGCCTAAGATCAGATGATTAGAAAGTGGTGTAAGTGGATTTTGATCCTAAGCCAGCCTGACTCTCCAGTCCATGCATTAGTTATTAGGCATAGTGCCTCACCACACTGCTCTGTTTTAACATATTTTACTTAGGCCAAACGTAGTACCTTTCCTGACAGGCCATTTCAACTATGCAAGATACAGAATGCATTTGTAATTACTGGCTCTTTTCTCAGTGAAACTCTTTGAAGATTTTATTTATTTATTACTTATTTATTTAATTTTTGTCTTTTTGAGACAGGGTCTCCCTGTAGCCCCAGCTGTCCTGGAACTCACTATGTAGACCAGGCTGGCCTTGAACTCACAGAGATCCGCCTGCCTCTGCCTCCCGAGTGCTGGGATTAAAGGCGTGTGCCAAACTACATTAATTTCTAAGAAAGCATACTAGGTGCAAAAACCAAAACATGATCTTTCAATCTTTGAAAATACTGTACGGACTTTTATCTTGACAAGTTAAAAATAAAAGCAAGTCAGGTTGCTTATTCTGGCATTTAAGAGAGACCTAGACTATTAGATGGAATTTAGGATGAAAGGGTAAAATTAGCCGTATGAGGTGGCAACATGCCTTTAACCCCAGCGCTTAGGAGGCTGAGGCAGGCAGCTCTCTGCAAGATCGAGGCCAACCTGGTCTACATAGCAAGTTCAAGGCCAGCAATGGCTGTAGGGAGGCCCTGTCTCAAAAAGCCAAAAATACTCTAGGAGGGTAAAATTAGCAATAAGTCTGGTTTTTCCACAGTTAAACTTCAACTTAGATTTAATAGAGATTTAAATCTGATTTCTGTGATATAGCATATATCTATATTCAAATGAATATAAAAAGTAAATACAAATTACTTTTCAGTTGCTTGCTAGTTTCCATTATATTGCGTGTTAGTGTACTTGTTTTATAAATGATGTGACTGCTTTCTCTTATTGTGCTTTTCCAGGAGTGCTTAATGTCCAGTCCAGACAAAGCACTTATCAGAACATCAGATTCAGAATGTGCTCAGAGCTCTTCACTTAGAAACTGAGAAAAGTCAGCATGGATCATACTGTTCAGCCAGAGTTCAGCCCTTTCCCTTGCTTCTCATATGTTGATAAATACAGCATTTCTCTGAACGTTGTTTCGCATTGTGTTCTTTTTTCTCGTGCAGTTTTGTGTTCACTTTCTTTGGTGGTTATTGAATCTGGTGTAGTAGCTCCCCTAGTACTGCTTTATTTCTCTGTGTGCCTCTTTTCACTTTCTTTTTCTCAGTGGAACTTAGAAGCATTAAACACATCTTTCTATTAGTTAAATTTAAAAAAGGAACTTTTTCTATGATGTGTGACTACTTAGCAATTTTACAGATCTCATCTCTACAGATCTAAATATGAAGGAAATGGTAAATTCTTATTTCTAGTGCAGTCAAAAAGTGTTATTTCTAACCTCTAAGTCCTTAAGATTTCTCCTCTGAAAATAAAGACACAAAGGTAGTAAATAATGCTAAACACAGGTTTCGATACAGTCTTTTTTAAAGGAAGGCAGTGTAGGCATGGGGGATAAAATCATTTGAAAATTTCCTCCTTGGGTGTTTGAGTGTAACCAGCTCTGATACTAATTAACTTTGCCTGTTTGCTGCAAGGTTGCACGCTTCCTCAAACATTGTTAAATTGCCATACTTGGTGATGAAAACAGTACACTGCTATTTTTCAAAATATTAATTGATCAAATATATTTCCCTTTATATACAGACCTTCCTCTTTTAAAAATTAAACTAGATTATTTTTGATAATCAAAAGTATTACCAATAATACAAGAGGAGGGAGCTCTGTGTTCAAAACATAAAACAGACAAGTTTTAATCAATGAGAGCCTACACAAGATCATGGCATTTAGGTTAGGAATCTATCTCTTTGTTATATAAACTACTGTGATATTATTAGAATGTTTCATAAGACATAGTGCAGAGCTGCTATGATCTTTAAATGTTAATGCTCTTTTCTTATCACTTTACTGTGTAGATACCCTTCATGAGACCCAACTGTGCCACAGCTCATCCTCGGAGGCAATCCCGGAAACCTCTTTTATAAGTGTGATTTTAAAAATGTGGATAAAACTCTCAATAGAGTATATAAAGTAAAAGAGAACAGCTATCTTGTCCTTCCCATAAGCTTATCACTGCAAAAAGTACTTTTGCTTGTCAGGTTTGGATAGAATGTAATTGATTGGTTTGTTACTTGGATAGACAAGGCAGTTAATTTGCCTGTGTGCATTTTTCTCTTTACTTCCTGTTCTTTCTTCTTTCTCCCTTTCTCCTTTTTATTTCTTTATTTTGTCATTGCACTACTCAGAAACACTTGATATGTGCATTATTTTAAAAAATAGTGGGCAAATGTCTGTCAGAATTGTCTTAGTAGGTAAATGTCTTTCCCTCTTGCTTCTTTGGAAATGATGATACACAGTTTTGGACCCATGAAGACTTCAGGAAGCCAGTGAAACTTAAGTGCTCTGTGCTTCCTTGTGGTTGAATAATAATCTCCCTGTTACTTGTTTGTAACAAAGACAATGCTTTCCATTGATCTACTAGTCTCTGTCACCTAATTTACTACATGGATTCACACATGAAAAAATAATCCTGCATTGGAAACAACTTTACACTCACATGAAACGCTAATTCTATTTATAATATTTAGCAAAAGTGAAAGACTTGTGAAGTAGATGGTATTCTATTTTTGAGTAGTGTGAAAGTGCTAATATTAGCATGAAGTTTTTATAACTTTAGATTTTAAGCTAAAGAATAAACATATTATCTGTGTTAGTCTTTCTTTTTTTTTCAGAAATACCCAAATTTGTTCATTCCTTATTGTTTCATTTAAGTATGAACTTTCTGTGTTCTATATAAGTTTACTTCTTTTAAACTTAAATGTGAAGCTGTGAAATGAGGGTGATGCAACGCTTGTTGCGCGTACAGCCTGCCAGCTGAAAGATCGTCACCAGCGTCTTTCTTTCCAGAGCTTTACAGAATTAAAATCTGATCTTCAAACTTTACTGATCCAGTTTTAAGTCAACGACAGAAATACTTTGAATATTGCACCACTTATTCTTGAACTGATCTAGAAGAGACTGCTGAAATTGAAGTGCACATATACATGTAAATTGTCAACACATCTCTTGGAATTTAATTATTTATCATTGTGATTTTGGGTCTCTTTTCTGGAATAGTGGTAATTGAAAATACTTTAAACTTTAGGAATAGACAATGTTATAGATAATCAAATGCAAGTGTAATTATCAAGTTGGTGTCTAGTAATTCATAGTTATAGGAGCCATACATATGACTGGGTAAGATGTTTAGTAATAAAACATGTATGAAATAATGAATAAAGATGCTATTAATTTATTGAAAGATCTTATAACATTGGAGAAAATAATAATCCCTAGGAAAAGCAGTATGCTTTCTTTAAGAAAGAGCTAATTATCACTACTTAAGTTGAAGAAAACTTGTGAACTCCCAACTAATTTTAAGAAAAATAACAATGGCATATTACCATTTTAAAAATTAACTGTGCTTATGTATTATGCCTTAGCTGTTTTTTAGTAAAAGAAAATATTATTATTTTAATTTAGGGTCCCCCCAGGGGGGTCTTTTGTTTTCAAGAAATTATTAGGTTGTGTGGTCGTAGTATCATTGTTAACCAAAATCCTTTTCACATCAGTTCTCATTAGAACACTCCATGATACTCATTCTTACTGCAATTTTCAGTGCTGGATCTGCTCATCCATGTTTAATGTGAATCCTAAAAATCTTTTATCATGTGTTACAAATATATTCTGTATTATTCATAAGATGTTGTAATCTTAAAAGCGTAGAACTTCTGAAGGGAATAGCATGAAACATTTTCTCTTAATATAATTGGTAGTATAAAATTAACCTCTGTTGATAAGTGGTCCGTTGCTATTAATGACGAAAGTTAATGTGTACATAAGAAAATATTTCTAAATGTTTCATATTTTACAAACATATGTAAGAAAAAAATGACACATGAAGTATTTGGTACTTATTTGCCATAAAATAGGAAAAGGAAGAAATACTAAAATATCAGGAAGAGGTTTAGAAGAAAGTAAAGTGCTTGCCCATGAAAGCTTGAGTCCCAGATCCCATGTAAAGCTTGATCTCCAGAACCCATGTACAAAGCTGGGTGTACTAGTGCACACTATAATCCTTGTGCTGGGGATTGGGGAGGCAGAGGCAGAAGGATCCCTAGGGCTTTCTGGTCAGCATACTGACTAGTACCAGACCAGTCAGAGACCCTGTCTCAAAAAACGTGGTGGGCAATTTCTGAGGAGGAATGACAGTTTCCACATGCACACACACAGTGCTCCTATATACATGTCCTTACACATAGGCACACAAATATTGGGATGTCTCTGAAATGGAGAAAGAATGACGTGGGAGTGAATAGTAGTGGTCCTCAGATTTTATGCATTAGAATCACAGGAAGGATTCACTGAGTCTCCCTTGACTATCTTCATCCTTTCTTTGTCTTCCTGCTCCCTCCCATACTTCCTCTTTTTGCTTCTCTAGAGTTTCTGATTCTGTGGATCTGGGATGACACCTAAAATCTGCATTTGTAACAGATTCCCAGAGGATGTTGGTTTAGCTGGTCAAGGACACTACTATGAGAAGTATTCATTTACAGTTATTTGTTTAAAATAATTGTTATATATATTCAGTATTGACCAATAATAAGTGTGGATTTAAAATCTTTAATGGGCACTTAGATTTCTCAAAAATATTTATTTTTAGAAAAAACTGTGTGTGGAAAAGTAGTTTCTTGTACAGCATATAAAATAAAATTTATTTTTACAAATTCAGTTAAATATTTGACACTTGGAAGAACAGCACTGTTTGAGATACCGAAAGAGATCAAAGAATGTGGCCTTTACCCAAAACATAAGAATTCTTTTGTTAACAAATTTGGAAATTACGGTTGTGTTTGAACATGAAAACTAAATTTAGACTTAGCCTTTATTCAAGTTCTGGATATAGTTATGCATCACTCATGTATCATTATCCTTCATGTTTCTTGGATGCTCTTCTGATTGTACTTAGTATATTAATAATACACTGCTAACCATGTTCATATTCATTATCCTACTTCCCTGTTTGTATATCCTGTTGCTTACTAAAACCATATATTTTGAGCACTTAAAGTTATTTACTTCATTTACAAATACACAACTTATCTGTGTGTTTTACTTGACTCACAATAAGAGAATTTATTTAGTCAAAATTTGTCTAAGAATACAGAAGGACTTGCAACAGAATAGACTGTTTACATTATTCCAAAAGGTTTTCTGAAATCATTTTTGACTAATGAACTTGTTGAAGAGGCTTAACTTAGAATTGCATGGCATATGAAGGCAGAATTCCCCATCTGAGTCATCACTTTGCAAATTTAGATAGCGTTATGAATTGTGAACTGAGACAGGCATGCTGTACAAATATTTATGAACACATAGGCTTCTGGGGCTCGAGAGATGGCTCAGCAGTTAAGAGCACTGGCTGCTCTTGCAGAGGACCTGGGTTTGGTTCCAAGCACGTACATGGTAGCTAACAACCTGTAACTCCAGTTCCAGGGGATCTGAAGCCCTCTTCTGACCCCCGCAGGCTTTGCATGGCAGAGTGTACATACCTATGTGTAGACAATACACGCATATACATAAATAAAAATAATAAAATTAAAAACAAAACAGCGTAGACTTCAGTGAGACTTAGTGCTCACTCTAAGGTGCTGTGTAGACCTGCCAGTAAGATTGACTACTGTTCAGGTACATAAGATGTAATGAAATTGTATGCTCATGCTGTGCATTGTAAATAAATTGAGATTGACTCCTAGCCGTTATCTCATCTATTTGATTTACATTGTAAAATCAGGATTTACACTATTGATTAGAGTATAATTAGCTAATTATGAACAGGGAAATACAAAGTTATGTGGAGCTTGAACACAGCAGGTTGTATCGCCGAAAATTTTCAAGGGAATGAGCAGATGGAGATCAGATTATTAAAGAACAAGGCGAGACATGTTTAAGGTATGGAAATGTCTAATTGTCCTCTCATGCTGTGAAGAGGTACTTGACCTTAGTGTGTATTTTTGTATGAATTGCCTTGTTTCATGTTTTATTTTTTCATTTTATTTTTAAAATTGCAAACTGGCTACTGCAGATGCTAAAAACGGAATTGATTCCACCTCTTATGTGGACTTGGATTTGGATATTTTTCCATGTAGTTTTTCAGTTAATATACATTCATGTATAATGAAACTTTTAAATCTAGCTTATAACCCACTCATTCATTGTTGCCTGTCATAGAAATCTCTAGTAGCATTAATAAAATAAATCCAAGTCCTCCACATTGGTCTGATATTTGTGAAATGTAAATTGAAACACAGTTTCTAATTAATTTGTATAGAAAATGCTCATGTATCTGGTTTGCACTAAAATTGTTACGTATTACAAGGAATAAAACATTTATTGATATTATTATACTATTGATAGAATGTAGAGTTTGGGGGCATTTCATATTATTTTAAAAGGTACTTAACTAATTAGTGGGCCTCAATACATATTTCCTTCACTTTTAAGATATTTAAATGATTGGACACTGTCCACTGAAATAAACCATTAATATTGATTTGTGAGCTTGAGTCACTAGTTAGATTTTATTCAGGTTAATGCTAATATTCACAAGTAATTGATGAGAAGGCCAGGCTTGGTGGTGCATGCCTTTAATCTTAGCATTACAGAGGCCGAGGTAGGTGATCTCTGTGAGATCGAGGCTAGCCTAGTCTACATAACAAGTACCAGGCCAGCTGGGACTATAGGGAGACCCTGTCTTACCACCCTTCAAAGTTACATAGTTTCAGAGAGAGTTCTTTATCCAATTTTGTGTAGAGTTGGAGGGGATCTAAGTAATACGTTACATGGAAGTAAAAAATTAGCTATCATTGTCAACATCAATGTGATCATGAAGAATGTACATACCTTTTTAAGTCTAAGGCACAGATTTTGCTTCTTCTGAAGGTCAGTTTATTGTGTAGCTGTAATATAGGAGGTACACTTAGTTGTTTCAGCTTGTATTTAGAAAGTAGGTACCTTAGGATTAGAGAGAAAGCTCAGCTGTTAAAGGCTGTGGCTTACAGCCAAAACATCAAGAGTTTGGTTCTCAGAAAGCACGTATGTCGTGTACTCCCCAAATGAACTTGTATTAATTAGAAGCTACAAAAGCTAAAGAAATCTTTTAGAACTCTGTTAGCTTGCCATTAGGCATAGGAGGTAATAAATCAGTTGTGTATTTTCACTTGTTTGCGTATTGTCAGTAGTCACAAAACACCTGATTGAATGCCTGTTGAGTGGTTCATAGCACAGATGAAGGTAAATCATTTTCTTCCTCTTCTCTGTCTAGGGCGCTATACTTAACATAATGCTAAGTAAGTATTTTAAATACATCTAGAACTGTGCTTATTTAGTCACTGCATCTTTTGTTAAGCCAATGTATAAAAGACCATATAGAGCTTCTCTATCATTTGTATCTGTATCCAACATGAATGAAGTATGTAGGAAATTGTCTTTAATAGGAATATAATTAGGTCTTGTTTTATATTATGAATGGGGTTTTATTTCATTCATTACAATTTAAATTTTAGAATACTCTGTAGTGTAATGTGCACAATATTTATTAGATTCTTTTAAGATATTTCTTTAAACATCAGGCTTATGTTTTACTTATAAACACTATTCCTTCATAGGCTAGTTTTATATTCTTTTTTCATATTTAAGATATTACCTTTATCATAATGTAATATTTGTATAATGTTTTTATTACATAAACATTTGTTTGGTTTAATAAAGTATATTGTGTCATATCACAGTACTTTTGTGGATCATTGACTTCTTTTGCAAACTTCAAAAAACCATTTTATTCACTATTTGATAAATTAATTATGTTGTTACATTGCTGTAATTAAAATGCTTTCAAGTACATTTGAATAGAAATTTAAAGTAAAATTAATCAATAGCTACTCTTTATTATAGCTTTACGGAACAGATGTCTAGATCCTCACATAAGAGTTTTAATTTTTGTGTTTTAAAAATGATCAAATGTTCTACATAGACCAAATTTGTTAATAAGATCTGATAAA